TGGTCAATGTATTCATGCATTCAATATATCCTGAATTAATTAACACATTCAATATTCATGACTTGTAACCACATAGTTACACATGGTCAACAAAATATACACACAGATATCAGAGAAGCAGAGAAACTACAGTTCGTTCAACGTTCATCTCGTTCGTTCATTGTTCATTAGTTCATCATTTGTCATTCATCTCTATCGTTCAGAAAACATTTTATCAAACTATTTTAGTAGTGTGAGTGTATGTTGCTATTTTGTTTGTTATCATTTGCTGTAACTTCTCTTTTCTCACTCTTTCTAAAACATTCCCATTCTTCCTTCATTTCCTTTTTCCTTTCTAACTCTCTCTCTTCTTCTTTTGTTATTTGGTTAAGAATATTTGTGATCCTCCTAATTCAGTCATACAATCACACTACACACCTTTGACCATTACACCTTACTCCATCATACCACCTTAATATAATTACCGTAGTATCATCATCGTACGTACTACCAGGTATTACCCTCATAATCACATCTTATCATCATCATACCATTAACCATTTTATCACCATTGTACCATTAACTACCTTATTGCCATTGTACCATTATGCCTTATAACCATTACATTATATATTCATGTATATCCAAGGGTTTTGTACTTATACACTTTTATTTTTAGTATAGTAGTAGTGTTGAGGAATACAACTGACATTTTTATACTTTGATAAAATATTTTTAATAATTACTTTTATATTTTAATAATTATGTATTTTTATTATACAAATAATTAGTTCTCAAGATCCATTATCACCAGGCAGTTTTCATTGTTCTCCCACAGTCCGTCCATTTAAAAATATAGTATCACAATGTAGAGAAAAGCAACCCACATAGCTAGCATATTCCATCACTATAATAATTCAAAGGGCTGTCAATTTAATGTTGCATTAGATCTAAGCCCACAGGCAATTGCAACACAGAAGTCAATGCAGTAAACAGAAATGGCTCCATGAACTCCTGCATAAATTTTGTGTTGCATGCAACAAATGTGACACAGTGACAATGCATGTTGTGTCAATGGTGTGAGCATTAATAAGTCAGCATGACACACATGGGTGAGGCTCATGGCCTTGCATACCATTTAACATTAGCTTGTATTTTTTGTTACTAGCTTTTTATGTTTAGCTGTAATAATTTTTACTAAGTCATCATTGTCACAGTAATTTTTAAAGTTGCTCTAAATGATGAACCTGTGACTCTGTCCTATGCCCAATTTTGCCAAAATTATAAATGAATAAATTCACCATTTTTATAATTGCAGAGAACGGTTTATCTGATTTTGATCAAAGTTGGATTTTTTATAAATTTTTAAATTTACTCATAAATAGGGTCAAATTCCCTGCATGTACAGCGTCACAAGCCAAATTTTGCCAAAATTGAAAAGGACATATTTTTTAATTTTATAATTTTTTCTGATACATATAGATCTACTTGTTTTAATTTTGCATAGAAAGTTTGCCAATTTTGATCAAGATTTATATAAATTTCTAATGTTGCTCCAACAAGCATGTACATGTACAAAGTACATGTATCATTGAATTGCTCATGAAGCCACACTTAGCATGCTTTGTGGAGAAATATCACTGTTTCTGTAACACACTGAAAGTGTTTTAACTTAGTACCTGCAAAGTAATGCATGACACAAGGATTTATGTTATGAACAACATCTACTATGTATATTATAGTAACAATACACCTTAGTTACCATTAGATTCATTTCTTTAACATTATAACATATTTCTTAAAATAAAGTAATTATGCAAAATTACTAGTACAAATAAGTTCAAGTGTATATTGGATCCAAACAAGAAGAAAATACAGCAGTGTAAGCAGATTCCCTATAGAGCAAAATTACCACTTTTGTATACCACCATACATTGTAAAGCAATATTAAAATTTTTTAAACCTCAGTAAGGGCCAGTTTATTTAGATTCTGTATTCATCTTTTTTGAGGCTGAGCAGTTGATTTTGCTTACAAAATTGGCACTCACAATTTGAAGGATTTCACCATCTGACTATTGATGATATTTTGTAATGTATGTTTTAATAACAAGATCACTGTCTCATAGCATCCCAGGGCCAAGAGTACTTTAATCATTGGATACAACATAAGATGATCAAAATTAAAACAATTTCAAATTAATAGATCAAAATGTAGTAACTTAGGGGCTTTACTTTAAAATGAATAATGTCAAAAAGTTTTAAAACAAAGTCAGACAATAAAAAAAGCATAACAGAAATTACCATAATAGCTACAGAATCTACAGATTACATGTATTTTATCGTAAAAATAATTAATAATTAATCATTCACCCATCTCATTCACTTTAAGCAATTGAAGTAGCCAACGTCTTCGTTACTATTGCATCATTGGGACCTTCATTAAAGCAATCAACGTAACCATCATTCGAATCTTCCTGTAAGCAATCAACGTAACCATCTTTATCATTAAAATCTTCCTGTAAGCAATCAACGTAACCATCTTTATCATTAAAATTTTCCTGTAAGCAATCAACGTAACCATCCTTATCATTGGAATCTTCCTGTAAGCAATCAACGTAACCATCCTTATCATTAGAATCTTTGTGTATGTCTTCATTTCTTCCTTTATGAAAATTGCTTTCTTTATTGTTGCTGTCATGACTAATTAGAATCTTTGTGTATGTCTTCATTTCTTCCTTTATGAAAATTGCTTTCTTTATTGTTGCTGTCATGACTAGTATACACAGCTCCCCTCAAAGTTCTAGTATTTTTAATTATTACATATTTTTTAGGAGACATCATCATGGTATTAAACTGATAGACAAGGTCTTCAAAAGATGGTCGTCTCTCAGGCTCTAGTTCCCAACCTAAAAATGTATCTTAAATTAATTAAAGTATTTTGTAATTTTCTCAATAGCCTTATCACAGATGTGTCACATGCTACATAAACTGACAACTATTGTGCACTAGCTGTTACATGATGCAAATCAATATAGCAACTCAATATATTTATACTATGTTGTTACATTTATGCAAAATAGCTATCTATACAAAGGTCAGATCATCAGATGCTACTATTTTATTATAACTTTGCTGCACTTACAATTCTGCAATGTTTTGTAAAATTCTAGTGTACACGTTTTAGGCTGTTTCAATCTGTCACCTTTCTCCAGCAGTTTAAGCAGCTCAAATACACTTTTACCCTAAGCATGTGATACATTGTGATAAGATTAAATACACTGCATGATTATACTTTGAAAGGAGATTCTCCAAATGTTAGTATCTCCCATACTGTTACACCAAAGCTCCAAACATCAGTTTTGTGAGTGAATATTCTTTGCTGTATACTTTCAGGTGGTAGCCAGCGAACAGGCAGCTACATGTTTATACCTCACAGTTAGTAGTTAATGTAATACTGACTTTTGATCCAGGTGCTTCATAATGAGACTCATCAGGTTCAATGAACCGTGTTAGTCCAAAATCAGTGATGAGAACTTTAAGATGGCTCTGAACAAGGACATTACGAGCAGCTAAATCTCTATGTACAAGACTTTTAGATTCAAGGTAAGCCATACCCTATACATGTATGTATAAATTATGAATATTAAGTGCATGTAAAATAAACCTTTGCTATTTGTAGTGAGAAGTTGATAACAGTCTGAGCTGAGATGCTGTTTCTATG